TAAGAATATATATATATATATATATATATATATATATATATATATATATATAATTTTTTGTATTCTATATTTTATAAATTTTTTTTATTTTATTTTATATTGAATCTTGTGTACAAATACTTGCTTGTTGCTTGTTTCAGCGTGGTGGACCAGAGTAATTTTGCAAAGCAAGCATTTAGGATGCTGTAAGCTCTATATTTAGGTAATTAACTTTATTATTGATCGATTTGGTGTAATGTGTTATTGAAATAAATGAACGTGATAGAGAGTTCCTGCGCTGCGAGTATAATTATTTCATATTTACACCAGCCACCTATCGGGCAAGGTCTCTTGTGAGTTGTGACATTGCCAGGGGCATCTGCTATTTCTGGCACAACTTTCAGCTCATTCCAATAACATTCTTGTTAATCCGGGATCTACGACAATGAAATTCTAATTAAATATGTTATTTTGCAACTTTCTATTTGCATTTCACATGGTTTAAGTGAGAAGACATTATTTCTCAATTTCTTTACACGATTTTCTGAGATATAAATACTGTGGGACCTAAAATAAATCACTATTCTCGATTGTTTTAGATTTATTTCTATTAACGAGACAGGGGTGTGCAATGACAGTCCAAAATCTGTGATTTAAAAGTTAAAAATACTCTTTGCATCTCTGGGTATAATGATTTAAAAAATAATATTACGTAACAAGAATTTTTATGAAAGCTTATTTCTTTTTATTTATCTCCTACATGTAAATTTAAAAAAATTTACGTTTACTTGCTATTAGTGTAACAATTATTAGTGTAACAATAGTATTAGCTTAATTATTAGTGTAATCTTTTTGGAAATATAGAACTCGAGATTTGTATGTGTGAAGTACTGTCTTTAAGCATTCAATTTCAAATAGATACATATCGGGAAAAAAACTATCGAACAAAAATAAAACCTAAGTTGTACTAATTTTTTTATTAACTTGTATATAGTTTTATTAATTTATATATGATAAAACCTATGTAATACGTAACTTTTCGTATTCTCATTGAAGGTCTTTCCAGCTCAAATAGTAATAGCTTTAATTTTCCTTCAAAAATTATATTGCAAAATTAACTTTACTCAACTGAAGTAATATGTATCATTCGTATAAAAGATGATATCAATAATTTGATATCAACAATTAGCGCCAAGATAATTTTCACAAAATTTTAATGCATTTCGTATAAAAGATTTGATTGGCGCAACAACTGGAAAGTTAAGTCTCACAAAATTTTATATATCATTCGTTTCAATGATTTTTTTGTGTGGAGCATAAGATTTTGTTGGAATATTTCAGAAAGCCGCATTTGAAACTTTGGAAGAAATGACGTATCGGGCAACAGCGTCTTGATACGGCCCTGCTGCGACACGACAAAAATAGCAGACGACAGTGCGCTGCGACTGCGGCGGCTGCCGTCTTGCTGTCCCTCCTTCTCCTACATCTACTGATCTGTACGTGAACGTGGAGAAGGCGATCTGAACAGTTTTATCGAAGTTTTCTCGAAGTGTGAAATTTTTACGAACGACGAACCCACTGCGAAAATGCCCGAGGTAACGGACTTCGGACCGAGAAAAACGTTTTTTATACTCGCGATCGTGATCGGCTGCTTCACCGTGCTGTGGCCGAAAATTCTGCAACCTATGTTCATAGGATTTGTCATTCCACATCACTCCACATCGGACGGTAAGGTTCTACGCCCAAACGTTGACGACAGAAAAGTTGACGTTAGAAAAATCGCTGGAAATATCGCATTATCATGAGAATGTTATACTTCTTATCTGTACGAAATAACTTAAATTTGAATAAATAAGAATTATTTAAAAAAGATCATAGAATTGAATAGATAAGAATCACATTTAAGTAAACAATTTTTTTAAATAATGTATTTTTATATTTTGTAAAATTATTGTTTATTGATTGATTTGAATGATAGAATTCACTGAAGGAGTACTTTATTGTTCATATATTTATGCAGTGTGCTGCGAAGTGATATTCGAAAGCGATGTCACTGCAGTGGACATCATGCAAGAAATGTGTCAAAACATATTGAGACATCATCCAGTTGATCCACGCGTAAGAGACGCCTTAAAACTTAGCAAGCTGACCCCTCAAACCGCGAGTTTGTGTAGAGAAGAGGTTCTAGCTAGATGCGGCATAGACTTGTCGTCTTTTCTTGCCGAAAGAGAAAGTTTGGGAAAAACCTATAAACAAGTGCTGGAGGAAATAAGATCATTCAATAGCTCCCTTTGCCTCAAAATGAATTTTGGTGTGCCATTGTCGCAATTAGGGATACCTCATCTTATTAGATATCATATCTTGATGCCACACAGTAAGAACTGCAAGGATATATAAGAATTGAGCCCCACTAGCGAATTAATTTTGTCACATTACTCAGATATAATTAACTAATTAACTCTTGTAACTGTTTCCCTATATTCTTGTAAGCTGTGTTTGCAATTTTTATAACAGTTTAATATGATATGCTTTACTATGCAAATTAGTTGATTTTCACTAATATTCTTTGATCACACATGGTGATTACATGGCTAGTAAATCGCTTATATAAAAAGATAATCTTGAAGAATTATGTTTTAATGCATCACATCATCAAATATATATATGAAAAAACAGATTTGAGTTGTCCATTTTGCTTTGGCTGAATGCCAAAAAAAAAAAAAGTAATGTTTGGCAGACAAGAAGCTTAGCCTCTATAGACAATTTCAAATATATCCATACTAATGATTTATTATGTTTCCCTTATCCCCTGGTTTTCAATGTGTATTTTAAATTTTATTAAGATTACCCAGCCTAATACATTTGTAACAGTTTTCTTGATTTTTTAATTAATTATATATTGCTACAATTAATGCAAGACTCTACTAAACTCTAGAACATCAATATAGAATAAATATGTTTTCGTGAATTGAGACAAATAGTATATATATTTTACAAGCAAGTTTTTTTATATATGTACAGATGCTATACCACAAGAACGTCGTACTCCTCCTCATGCAGGCGGAATGCATCCTGCGTTGAGAGAAAGGGGAAGGGCCATACCATCCTCTCATATTGTACCAAAGATAATCGACAGGCCACCGCCCGGCGAATTTATGCCACAAATGCCAAAAATGAGGCCACCTCTCGGTGGTACTGGTTATGCTGTTCCACCCAAAGGTTCCACCATCCTATCCAGCATGGGGATTGTTATGCCAATGTATACAATAGGAATAATCGTGTTTTTCATATATACCATTATTAGGGTAATTTACGAATTTGTAAAAAAATTCTAACAAAATTTTGGAAATAATGAAGAAAAACTTAAAGTTTATATTAACAGATTCTTAGAAAGAATACCGATAGCGAGATTATTTCGGAATATCCAGGAGCAGCTGCTGAAAAGGAATTTCGGAGAAAGGTATTCAGCCCAGAAGCTCTTGCTGTTGCAATGACTGGAGGGCATTCCAAATTCCATTCAATCAACCCATATTATCTAAGAGAAAAGTCACCGTACAAGACTGCTCCAACTATTGACGAATTAAACGATCGTAAGTGCTTTTACAAATATATTTACAATTATAAATCATATTTCATTTACATTATCATCAACGCAATGTTTTTATGAGGAGCTAATTCTTTCGGAGAAATTCAAGATATATGTTTTCTTGAGTATCTAAGGCAGATTTTTAAATGGTGTTGCATGATGCAAGGTTTGCACAATTAGAACACACACGTATTTATACATGCGAATATACATTGCAAGATTCTGAATAAAAATGTGCATATTGCAATTATTCGTACTTATATTCTGAACACGTTTGGTAATGTTCTACATGCTGGAACACAAGAAGCGGCAGGAGACATAGAGATAGATCAACTGAGACAACGATTGGTCGAGACGGAAGCAGCCATGGAAAGAATTGTTGTCCAGATGGGCAACATATCACGTTCAGTAAAGCATAACGCGAGCTCTCAGCCAGAAATCAAGGTTTATCAGATTAATTTTGACGCCATTCACAGTTTCAGTTTATTAGTCGTTAGAAAAATGTGCACGTCACTGTGTTCTGATTGCGTTACAAGCTTGATCCATCCAATGTACATTAAACATGTTGTACATTTAGTATAAGACCTTATCTTCAATATTTGGCTTTTTCAAATATCGATGCTTGCGGATAACTGTTGCAACATTACAAATTGTTGGTTTAAACGTTTATAATTTATACAAGATTCATATTGATGTGTACTAGTCGAGTACAATATTCAGTACAAACATTTAAGTCAGAATATGCGTTCGATACCAGAATTCACATTGAATATTTTACATTTTGAGTAGTAGATGGGTCTCCAAAGTCCAATGGTCTGGCAGGGCTCGATCGCGGTTCTAAGGTATATCCCTTGCCTCAGAAAATATTTCTAACAAGAGTAACCAAGAGTTTGTGGACCACTTTCTATTTTCAGTGCACTAGTTTCACGAATAATGAATTTATCACATTAAATGTTTCTTAGACTTATATATGATAGTTTCATCATGACATGAGTCTACAGTAACAGTATTTCAGTGTTTTAAGTGTAGAATGCCATTATTCTTTTATCTTTTACATAAGAAAAGACATACATGATTTGTCTCAATGCTAAATATTGTTGAAATATTAGTGAAACAGTAGTTGCTCTTCCCAGAGCTTCTCAATTACAAGTACTAATTGTGTGCCTTGCATGATATCCACTTATTTTACATCTTGTTGATATAGCATATTATAAAATGTATTAAAAAAATTATATATATGGATTTCTATGACATCTTTTGTGACTTTATATATATATTTGTTTGTTTGTTTTTTTTTTCCAAATAAACGTAGAATTTTTAACATAACACATTTTTTTAATTCTAAGGATTTTGTTATATTAAAAATTGTATGTATAAAATAGCTCTTACATCACATTAATTAGCAAAATGGCTTTGATATTACTACATATGTGTTATTATAATATTTTTTTATTTAAAAGAGACGTATAAAATGAGAAGTAAATAATGAAAGAGCAGTACATTAAGACTTTAATTTATAGGAGGACACTGCAGACCAGGAATCACATAGTAAGGAAGATGAAGAATTAGATATAACAGAACAATCTCCAACTGTTAAAGTCATGGGTATGGAAATGACAGCTAGTTGTGAAAGTGGACAGAAATGTAGCAGACCCACCACTCCCATTATTCCTACACCAAGGTATTATTTCCTCTTTTATATTTTTATCTATATTATTAATATTTTTATGATTCATTGAATTTTATTATTTCTGTTTTTCAGTAACATTGAAAGAGAAAAAACACCGCCAACACCTATATATTTAGAGGGTGCACTTCCATCGCAATGTGAATTACTAGTAACCGATTCAGAAACTCAAGCTGAAAAGTCAGAGGACGATGACGACGCTCCAGTTGTTCTCTCAGGCAAAATGACTCTCTCTCTCATCAGTCTCGACCAAATTCCAGCTGTAAGGAAATATTAGAATTACCAACAGAATCAAATCTGCGGAGCCTTGTTTTATTTGGTGATTCTTTCATTCATTTAATTGTTTGCCTAACTTCTGTATAGGTTACTTAATATAGAGATCACAAATCACAGGAACTAAATGCAGAACTAAGTGCAAAGAATGGTTTCTTGGCTATTACATGTATGGGTATGAGTGATGCGCTGATTTCATTATTTATTATTTCTATCCCAATTCTCTGTGATTTGTTCGAAATATTAATAACTAGTGCCTTATACTTCTTATGTTTCACTAATATCTTAATTTTAATATAAGATACACTGGCTTGTTAAAATACAAATTTAAGTTCTGTCAAAAGAATACCAGATGCTGAAATAGACTGTCAAACTTGAAGAACGTATTCTGCAACTTGGCCATCTATTTCATGTAATCTATTACAGGGATAATTTATATTTTTAAAAATATGTAATTTATAGTTATTTAAATTGTTTATGTTCGTGTGTTCACACAAATTACTAAATACGGTGAATTTGTTTTTAATTTTTGTAATTTTGATAAGTTTATGAATTCTTATTTTATTTATTTAATTTTGTAATACTAATAAGATAATGTTATGCAAATTGCTTTTTGTAAAAAACAACACTATTTATTATACATTCACATTAATATATTAATCATTACAGCTATACAAATATATTTTATTATATTTGAGATATACTACATTTAACATTGATAATAAAGGTTTAGCAATTACATAAAATGAGTCACATAATTTAATCGAATTATATATTTTTTGCAGTTTAGTAGAAATAATAGAAAAAAATGTTAATTTTATAATAATTAATTTAATACTTAATCTTTTATGTTTTTTACAAATGCAATAATATAAAATGCATGTATAAAATATAACTGCAGTTTTAAAAATAGAAAAAGTTTATTTATTTTACGTATTAATTATTCTCAGTATATTATTTAATTTACAAAATATTTAAGGATTAAACTTTTTATGAAAATATTTATTAGAAAATAAATATTTTGTTTTGCAAAATATTTCTAGTTACATATATTTAGTCGAAATTGTTTAAAAATTTAAACCTCACATTGTGAAATATTTACTAATAAAGTAAATTAAGTACTGTGTTTGTAAATATTCAAGATTCTCTACTCTGAACTTTATATTCTTCTAAGATCGGTAGTTGATCAGTTGATAACTATGGCTTCAATGACTAAACCCAACGGAAATACTCAGACAAATCGGAAACGTATCAGAATGGTATTGTATTTCACAAATGATGAAGAAATTATTTATTCAATGTTATTGAATGAATAATCGATGGAAGACTTTTCACAGTTGTATTTATTACATTATTATTTTATGTTCATTATGAAAATTTGATTTTATCTCGTTGTACATTTGCACTTGAATATTTCAATATTATGGATAATATTATATAGATTAATTAAAATAAAGCTTTTTATATTGTAACAAAAATTTTTTTGCACCTAAAGATAACAAATTAAGATGTTGAATTGTTTATTGTAATATTCAAAATTCAATTTAAGATTTATCTTGATCAAAAATTATGATTAAAAACTGTGACTCATCCCTTATTTTATTTAATAAATAATCTATTTTTTATGTTGAATTATTTATTTTATAATTTAAAATGTAGTTCTACATAATATAAAAAATCATATTTGACTTGTAGGATTCAGGAGCTGAAAATCCAGATGGTAAGAAAAAAAGGATTTTGGATACCCAAGCGGAAATTAGAGATGTAAAAGATATAAAGACAATATTGCAAAAGGAGGAAGATAAAAAAAAAAGAGAGAAGGATAAAAATGAAGAAAAATTAGAGAAAGAGGAAACTGAAGAGGAAGTAGAGGAAGAGGAAACTGAAGAGGAAGTAGAGGAAGAGGAAAATGAAGAAGAAGAATTAGAGGAGGAGGAAATTGAAGGACAAAAGGAACTAGAGAAAGAGAAAGTAGAAAAAAAGGAACCAAAGAAAGAGGAAAATAAAGAGGAAGTAGAAGAAGAAGAATTAGAGGAAGAAGAAAATGAAGAAGAGGAAGAGGAAGAGGAAGAGGAAGAAGAAGAGGAAGATGTAGAGGAGGAAGATGCAGAGGAGGAAGATGCAGAGGAGGAAGATGAAGAGGAGGAAGGTGAAGAGGAGGAAGATGAAGAAGAGGAAGAAGAGGAGGAAGACGAAAACACGAATAATGATATTGGTTATTGGATTAATAAAAAAACTTAGAAAACATAAAAAAAAGAAATAAAAGTAAAAGAAACCAGCTAAGAGTGAAAAGACTTTTAAAAGTAATTCTGTTTGTTCAAATGGATCAGTGTTTACCAATCTTTAATAAGTCCCTTTATTATAATGAAAATAACTATGATTATCTCATAATACATATGTATAAGAAAGCTGGTTTAATATGAAGATTCATAAATTGGTTAAGCACTGCCAAATACCTAAAATGTTATTTATATTATATTTTCGGTTTTTTTTTTAATCACTATATTTGACATTTTATAGAATCGTAAATTTATTAATCATAGGGGCCAAAAGAAAGAGAGGCAGTGCTGTCTGTGCCACAATGCAATGATGACATAGATACTTCGACCTATAACCTATTACATTATTACTTGTAGTTAGAAGAAATTTACGATATCTGTTTTAAGAATGCCCAGTAGATAAAAATAACAGAAAGAATTACGAATCTGCCCAATTGTAGTATATAATATATATGTCAAATTCGGCGATTGGCAAGCACTGATACTTTCATAAAAGCCAAAAATCTCTTTTTTTGTACGATACAGATAGAGTTCACTCTATTTTGCTTTCATATACTAATTGTTTTATGAACGTTTAATTTTATTGTAAGATTTTAGTAATTTATTTTCAATTTTTACATTAAATTCGATAAATGTTTTCTAATTTCTGTATTTATTGTGAAACATAGAATGCTTCATCATTTT